ATCCTCCACCTGCGGCACCGGCAATCTAGTCCTAGTTGGGGCAGCGGATGCTGTCCCACTTGCTCCTCTTCCAGAACAGCTCTCTGCTGTGGCCCGGGAGTGCAGTGGAGGATGGCTCAAGTGCTTGGGCCCTGCACCCGCATGGGAGACCAGGAGGAAGTACTTGGCTGCTGGTTTCACATCAGCGCAGTGCGCCAGCCATAGCAGCCATTTGCGGGGTGAACCAATGTAAAGGAAGACTTTTCTCTCTGTCTCTTTCTTTCACTGTCTAACTCTGCCTGTCAAAAAAAGACTATTAATGCAACATATTATGGAGGATCTTAAATATCAAAGGTCTGATGTTTCACTTCCTCCCATAGCCTATCTAAATCAATACTCAAATGATATAAATCATAAGAAATACTCTCTTGTACTACTCCCAGACCATTTTCAATGTTTTACAAAATGTTCACATAGCAAATATGAAAACCTTCAACACATTCTTCTTTTGTAATTTCTGCTGCAATAAATACATGAACAACATACAGATTTCTTCTGTACCCATCTTAAAAGTGGAGTCACTGAAGTATATACTAATTTATGTTACTCATACATATTTTACTCTTATTTTTAATGAGATCATTGCCAGTACACACATTGTTTGCTTAACTTTATTTTTACATTAAGCCAATGTCTGTCATGCAGCAATCAAAAAACTGACAGTAAATTATATGGGTTTGTAGTCCAATTTAGACTCTAGCTTCTTAGAATAACCCACTTTTTTTGACAGGCAGAGTGGACAGTGAGAGAGAGACAGAGAAAAAGGTCTTCCTTTTTCCTTTGGTTCACCCCCCAATGGCCGCTGCGGCCTCAAACACCACGTTGATCCAAAGGCAAGAGCCAAGTGCTTCTCCTGGTCTCCCATGTGGGCGCAGGGCCCAAGCACTTGGGCCATCTTCCACTGCACTCCTGGGCCACAGCAGAGAGCTGGACTGGAAACGGAGCAACCGGGCCAGAATCCGGTGCCCCAACTGGGACTAGAACCCGGGGTGCCGGTGCCGCAGGCGGAGGATTAGCCTAATGAACCATGGTGCCAACCAGAATAACCCACTTTTCTGATGGCTTTCATGAAATCTTCCTGTACTACAAAATTATGATCAGCACGAATTGCAAACATACCAGCTTCAGTACAAACACTTCAGGTTTGCTCCAATAAAGCCATCTAAAAGGTTCATGCTTGCTTCATAATCTACTTCATAATGTTTTGTAATGGGAGCTGTGTGGATTTTCAATATATCTAACCTGGCTTTTTCATGTGGTAAATCAATATGTATTTTTCTGTCCAATCTTCCCAGACGTAGCAAAACAGGGTCCAGTGTATCTGGTCTGTTTGTAGCCATGGTCATTTTAACTCTATGCAGAGTATCAAAGCCATCCATTTGATTTAGCAACTCTATTAAAGTTCTCTTAATCTGTCAGCTGATGTACCCTCAGGAAACCGATGACCATCAATCACATCTATTTCATCCATAAAAATGATGCATGTCTGATGGTCGGTCTCTGGCATAATAAAACATTTCTCTGATCAAACAGGCACTTTCACCAATCTATTTGTCTACAATAGAACTTGATACAACCTTTAAGAAGTTACAATCCAGCTGACTAGCAACAGTTCTCACCAAAAGCATTCTTCCTGTGCCTGGAGTTCCATATAACAAACAGCCTTTTGGAGGTATTACTCCTACATGCTGGGATAATTCTAGGTTTTTAAGAGGTAATTCTATTCCCTGGGTTCCCATGAGGCATATTGTAAACCAGTGAATCCATCACTCCTGGCAAATCTCTCATGATACTTAGTGTAGTCATATCCAAAGAAGCTCTTGTTCCTGGATTCAGCTTACTTTTGTCAAGTTGTCTATGACAGCTGACAATGTATCTTGGGGGGGTGAGGAGAAGAAAGTTCTGGAATCAGATGCCAGTGCTGGCTGCACAACTCTGCACATGTGCTGCTAGTGAATGTTCACCTTAAAATGGTATAAAGGAACCAAGGTAAACACCAAAGAGAACTGCTAATGAGTAATGTGAGTTAGCATTCATTCTGATCTAGTTCTCATGACTCCCCTTGCCCCAGCCCAAAGAAATAAGAGGTTGGGCTTAAGTTATGGGGATTACTGCTCCTCCTCAGGAAGCTGGAAAACCCAACAAGCACAGCCAACATTGCATGCGTGCACATGGGACTTTGAGACTGTGTCACTCTGTGGCTTCCTGGCTACAGTGCTGTGTGTGCATTTGTTCCTCTGTGCATGTGGTTTTTTGAAAACTGACAGTTAACATGCTGTCATGTTTCAAATAGGTTTTGATGGACATACATAAAAATCTGTCATGGGGCTCGTATTGTGTCCCAACAGGTTAAGCCTCTGCCTATGGCATCCCATTTGGGTGCTGGTTTGAGACCCACTGGCTAATTCACTTTCAAATTCAGATCTCTGCTAATGCACCTGGGAAAGCAGCAGAGGATGGCCCCAGTGCTTGGGCCCCAGCATCCACATGGGAGACCCAGAGGAAGCTCCAGGCTTTATCATGGCCCAATCCCGGCGATTGGGGTCATTTGGGGAGTGAACCAGCAGTTGGATGATCTCTGTGTGTCTCTCCTCCTCTCTCTGTTAACTCTGCCATTCAAAGAAATAAGAAAACTTTTAAAAAAAGGATGCTCATATCTTTTAATATTTTCACCTTTCTTCATTCATTGAAGACACAAACAGACCTGTTCTATCAAACAGCTTATAAAACAGACCCTTAAACTGCATCTGATTTCAATGAGAGAGTCTGTATGCATTTTGTCAGACTTAGAAATAAGGTAAGTATCATTTTAAACTAAAGCAAAGCTCCAAACTTTTGAGTTCTAAAGATAACAAATGAATAAATAAGAAAAGTTTGCTAAAATGATCAATTTCATTAGTTGTTGAGATGGTTGGATGCCAGATGGTTGGATGCCAATGTCCTCAGATGACACGAGGTCCAAACATCTCAAAACACCAGAGCCAAGAGAACCTCATCTCACGTACACAACCCTCACTGGGAGGGTCTTCATGCTGGACTTTTTAGAAAGGCTAGTTTGTTTAAAAATGCTTGGTGTGAACAGAGCCAAGCCTGTATGCTTCTAACTGTATCACTCCTTGTTAAGAAAGAGGGAAACGTCATTAATCAGGCACACACAACCACCCCAATCAGTTCCAAGGTCTCAGAGGAAGCAGGGTTCACAACCACTGATACACAGTATTCACTGGATAAACGCCAACAAGCCTCCTTCAGCAAGACAAAATGTTCATGCGCTCATGAAGTACCATGCATGGAACCGCCCAACTGGTAAAGAAGGGATTGCCTGTGACATTCACCAAGGTGGAACCCAGAGAGGTAGACCTGCTCTTCATTTCCAAAGTGAATTCCAAGATGACCATGTCATGGGGAGGTGGGGGGAGGCGATTCACAAAGAAGAGTAACAAACCAAAGGAAACAGTGAGCAAAATTAGTGAAAAATTGACGTACAAATGCTTTTCAGGGACTTTTAATGATTACCTTAATAAGACCAAACTGTTTCCTAGATTCACAGCCACTCCTCTAATTACATGCTTGAGAAAATTCTAAGCCATTCGGGGTAGCTGTAACTCAGGGACAGAAAGCAATAAAGTAACACAGCGATGAACAAAGCACTTCTGCCTGAAGGTGCTGTGGGGGTTGGCCGGGGACTCCTCACTAACCCAGCACAGCCGCCAGCCTGAGGCTAGTTAACAATCACTATTTTCTCCTATCTTTAGATGCCTATGCATAGTTCCCACTGATCCCTCAGGGGCATGCCATCATACCACACTTGGAACTGGGAAGCTGAGAAATGCCATTTCCCTGGGGTCTGCAAAGAACCCACTTTACTAATCACTGCAACCGCCACAAGATCAAGTGTGGCAGAGGCACCTGTGCTAGCAAGCACAGCCCAGGCCCCCACTGCACCTGCCTGTGAGGCAGGGACTCACAGGGCCCTCAGCCTCATCTTAGCTACTTTTTTGCTCAGAGAAGGAAGGCAGGAACTGGCAAGACCCACCACACTCCTGCCCTCAGAATCTCAACTCCAGACAGCCCAAGCTGAAATCCAGGCAACCCTGAAAGGTCAAGGCTTTTGGCCCCGCAGAGACACTCCCAGCAGGCAAGTCGCACCACACCTCCAGGACCCTCCTTGCACTCCTCACACACTCACCTCTCACATTAGCCCACACCCTGCAGCCCAGGAGGGGCAAGCACAGCAGGATTTAAACTGGAACTTCACTGATATCTATATATGGCCTAGGGCTGGTTCCCACTTCCTTTAACTCATATTTAAAAGGGTATCAGTGGTACCTTTCTCACAGAGTTTTGAAGAGGATTAGACAGGACAATGTGGTATAATTAAATAAAACTCTTGCTTCCCCTCCTTGTGTTGTTATTTAGAAATGAGACAATGGTACATTAAGAAGCCTGACGACTGAAAGTGCTTCACTAATGCTGATTCTCTTAAACATCCCTTCTTGGCCCTCCTACCTTTATTGCTGTAAACAGACCTTTCTATAACCAACAGTTCCTGTCCCAAGATCCAACAGTGAGTGCATTGTTAGTTCTGCATAAGCTGAATTCCAACTGTGTACCAGGGACTACAGGAATGAAAGCAGAGAGACAAAGTCCTGCCCTGGACAAACTCACAGTCTTATACGTGATATTGGTATTTAGCAAATAAATGGTGATAAAAGGGGTAAGCACTTTAAATATACAGGTAGTGTGTTACACAAACTCAAGTTGCCCGAGGACGTCGGTTCCTGAACCCACACTGGAGTACTAGATAAAGTACATGGCTTTAGCTTCGGCATGGCCCACCACCAGCCATTGTAGCCACCTGCAGTGTGAACCCATACCCCGAAGATCTCTCCCCCCATGCCTCATCTAGAACTCTGCTTTGCAAACCATTCTTTAAATAGAATAAAGTATCTAGTACTTACTGTGAGGTGTCAGAATCTTGGGGCAGGCTGGAACAGGGCACTGAGGGATTCTTGGCATTTCTCTAAGCTTCTGCTTTCTCCTCTGTGTGTGCAGTCTGTGAAAATTCACCGGATTACGTGCCAATTAATTCGAGCGCCCCGTGTCCCCGTGTTCCTGCACACATCCCTTATGCTGCCGAACAACCCGGAGCAGAGAGGCTGTCAGTCAAGGCCTCTTCGACAGACGCAGCTAGCCAAGGCTACTTCTGGCCAGGCACAGAAAACCCCCCAAATGGACCCAGAGCCCTGGGGAAAGTTCTTCCTCTCCCAATCCCCCTCCCACACACAAGCCCTGGGACTCCTGTCACTCTCCCCCTCCTTTCCTCTCCCCCACATGTGTTTCTCCCCCTCCCTCCCTCGCCTCTCCACTTTCATTCTCCCCACTTCCTCTCTCCTCCTGCCTCCCCTTTGACCCTCTCCTCTCCTCCACCTTCTATCCCAGCTACACCCTGCACACACCCCTCCCCGTGCTCTGCACCCCAGGCCATGACTACCCCGTCACAGGAAGGCCACCGTGCCAAACTCCCCACACAAAGAGCGTTTCTGTTCCTCAGGAACAGGAACTGAGTCCCGAAGTGTAGTCTTCAGGTAGGGGTTGAAGCAGAGGACCGCGTCTGGAAGTTTCCAGAAGCCCAAGGAAACTGATGCGGCCGCCTCAGGCCGTAGCCTCACCTGATCCCGGCCTGAGCCTGGGGGGGCCCTGGGTCTCCTCAGGTTCAGCCAAAAGCATTGAAGGCGGCTCCTCAAGGCTCTGGGAAGGAGCAGACATGGCGTTGACTCCCACCAGTGCATCAAGGGCAGAAGTGGTGGCACCTGCAGGTGCACTTCTGGGTCAAAGCGCCAGGCACAGGCACACTCCTCACTGGCAACAGGACACACATTGGCATGGAGCTGGATGAGAGATGGAGTAGACAGGACTTGAACTGACTCCCCTGTGGGATACCACAGCACCGGCACACCTGTTCTTACTTCTTAAACTTCTTATTAGCCTTATTACTGTAATATAAATTTAAAATATATTATCTGAAACTGGAAGGAAGGAAAAAGAAGGAAATGAGGCAAGAAAGGAGGGAGGGATGGAAGGGGACTCTGGGAGAGACAGTGTTAGAAGGAAAGCAGAGAAAAGGGAATGTGGTTTATTTTTAAATTAGTTTATAAATTATATTGAAGAATTTTTTGACCCTAAACATATACACGCATCCACTGGACACAATATCAATGTTTAATGGAAACTTATAGAAAAAAAAATACTCACACTACAGAGAAAACGAAAGACACAACCTGCACATTAGTAACATTGTGTATGTGGAAAATTCTAGGACTTTATGAAAATATAAGTATGAAAATGTTTCTATAGAAATAATCTAAAAGTAAGAGTAAGCTACAGAGGCCGGCGCAGCAGGTTAAAGTCATGGCTAACGCACTGGCATTCCATATGTGCACTGCTTCTAGTCCCAGCTGCTCCTCTTCCAATCCAGCTCTCTGCTATGGCCTGGGAAAGCAGTAGAAGATGGCCCAACTCCTTGGGCCCCTGCATGCATGTGGGAGATCTGGAAGAAGCTCCCGGCTCCTGGCTTCAGATTGGCCCAGCTCCGGCCGTTGCAGCCATCTGTGGAGTGAACCAGCAGATGCAAGACCTCTCTCTGTCTCTACCTCTCTCTGTAATTCTGTCTTTCAAATAAATAAAATAAATCATTAAAAAAAGAGTAAGCTATATAATTCTGAACATATATTACTCAAAAATACCAAATAACACTGCATTGTAAAGAATGACACATCATTTAAGTAACACTTAAGGAAGAATGCGCCTTCCTAATAAATGTCACAGTCTGACACAGAGACACAGTTTAGGGACTCTAAAAGCAACTGGAAATATCTGAGTTGGCAAAAAAAAGCAGTTGTAGAATAGGAAGTATCACGAAGTTTGAATTCCAACAAATTGGGAAGCTATTCCAAGAGCTCATACCGTATTCTTTCTGTTTAAATCCTTTAGGACTCAAGCCATCCCTAGCACCCCAAAATAATAAGAACAAAAACATCATGAAAGCAGCAGCTTTCACGCAGAGCTGCCTAGAAGGATATGAAAAACACCCATCACGACAATCACCCTCTTTCCACAAACTTTCTCAAGGATGTTCAAGAAGCATTCAGTATTAGATAAATAACAAGAACGAATGTGAGCGAATAACAGACACATTCAAAAGCCAAGAAGCACACGTTTATCAAGAGAGTCCTCTTCCGAATTCTGACGTCTACAAGTAGACTACAAGCCACAAAAATCATTCCCAGCCTAAGAAAGGGTCTCCATGTTTCCAAGCCCCTTATCAACCCAGTTTTCTTTCAGATAACATCTTCTCCATCTCGCAGTGTTCTGCAGATGCTATCTGAATTCCCTGATTAACTCAGCATCCATTCCCCATCCCTTCTGAAAGTTTCCTCTACCAGTCCACCCATTTCCCTTCCCTCACTTTTCCTAAGGTTGCTCCCCAGACCCTCTCCCGGGTCTAACACTCTGATACTCCACTAGTTCTTATAAGTTGACCTAACCCTCCTTCATGTTACAATTCTGCTGAAAGTCACCTGACTTCCTCTATATAATCCTTCCATTTCCCCTATCTATCAAAAGATGATGACATAAAGAAATTACCTCATTTCAGCTCCCAACTCCCAAGTGCCTTGCATGTCCCAAGTTCTTCTGTGGCATTTACCCTTATCAGCCCCCCCAGCAGAGATTCCTTGCAATCTTGTCATCCTTAACCATGAATTCTAAAACCCAAACTTTTATTTCCATATCCCTCAAAAACAGACTTTTGGTGTTTTGTACTCTGAGGCAACAGCACACACTTCTCCTCCCAGGCCTCCCTCTCATTGCCTGGATGCCCCAATATTCCTCCTCTTACCACATTCTTTGACACCTGATTCACTGCAAAACTAGGGGGAACTCATTCCCCAACATCCAAGTGCCCTCATCTTCATTGCACCTAACTCTCCTCTACCCCGTTGGCCCCCACATTTCTTTTACCCCAACCTCTGGGGCTACTCCATTTGATCCTCCCTGTCACGGGATGAAAGTCAACTTCACTGTCCACATGACCCGCCCAACCACAGGGAACATGGTGTCCCTTCCCTACTCTTTCCCTTGTGCTTCAAGGCTGCCGCGTACATGAGGTGGTCGCATCTGCTCACCAGTTGCTCCTCTCCAGGAAGAAGCCCCAGCTGTGTTTAGCAGGAAGTTGAGCAGTCTCTAGAAATGGAAGATGACCCAGCAGATGAACTTCAACTGCATCCAGTTTCATGTCCATGAAAATGTCTACAATGAAAATTAATAAACATTAAAGAAATGGAAGAAGACACACAATACTCATAAAATCTTTCATGGTCATTCATTGGCACAATCGACATAATGAAAATTTCCATTCTACTATAAGTAATTTACAGACACAATGGGATCCCAATCTAAGGTCAAATAACATTTTGCCCAGATGGAGAGAAAACAATGCTAAAATTCTTATGAAAACACGGAACATCTGAATAGTGAAAGCAATCTTATACAACATAAACAAAACTCGAAGCATCGCAAAAACAGACTGCAAAACACAGAACAGGGCAGTTACAATCAAAACAACTGGTTTAGTAAAAAAAAATTGACATATAGAACAATGGAACAGAAAAGGAACTCCAGAAATCAATCCACACATCTACAATCAATTTATCTTAGAAGAAGGCGCTAAAGATTAATCCCAGGTGCAAAGGACAGTTTCTTCAAAAACGTTCCTGAGTAAACTGGACCTCCATATGCAGAACTATGAAAGAAGACCCATGCCTTACACCTTATAGAAAAACCAACTGAAAATAGTTGAAGGAACAAAATCTAAAACCCAATCTCATCAAATTACTCGAGAACACTGGGGAAACCTGAAAGACACTGGCATAGGCAAAGATTTCTGGGAAAAGACAGCAGAAGCATAAGCAATAGCAGCAGAAACAGAAACAGACAAATGGGATTCCATCAAGCTGAGAAGCTTCTGCGCTGCAAAAGAAACACTCAGCAAAGTGAGGAGACAACAGAATGAATGGGAGATAATTGTCTGCAAACTATAAAACTGATAAAAGATTAATATCCAGAATATACTAAGAGCTCAACAACAAAACAAAAAATCCAGTTAAGAAATGGGCATAGAACTTGAACAGGCATGTTTCAAGAAAGGAAATCCATATGGCCAACAGACACATGAAAAAATGCTCAGGATATTGAGCCATCAAGGAAATGCAAATCAAAATGGCAATGAGGTTTCACCGCACCACAGTCACAATGGCTGTCATACAGAAATCAACAACGATAAATGCTGCTGAGGAAGTGGGGAAATATAGCACCCTGATCCACTCACTTTTGGTGGGAATGTAGACTGGTAAAGCCATTTCAGAAGATAGTATGGAGATACCTCTGAAAGCTGAAAATAAATCTACCGTTTACTATGAAATTTTTCAGCAATCCCTCTCCCATTGATTTACCCCTAGGAAATGATATCAGCAGATCTGAAAGGGTTATCTGTACCTTCACGATCACTACAGCTCAGTGCACAATAGCTGGGTTGTGGAATTAAACCAGATGTCCATGAACTGATGACTGGATAAGGAAATTATGGCATATATACACTATGGATTACCACCCATTGGGAAACACAGAAATGCTGTCTTTAGCAACAAAATGGATGTAACTTGAACCCAGTATATTCAGTGTAATAAGCCAGTCCCAAAAGGACAAATAACGTATTTTTTCCCTGATTTGTGATAACTAATAAAGTACCTAAATGAGAGAAAATGACATTCTGAGATAAAATTGTTTCTTATAGTTCTAGTCTCACTTTCAAGAACAGTGTTTTGTTCTTCATACTCCGTGTTGAACACTGTTACTTAATCATATGAATATATAGTTAACTGAAAACAGATAATTCGAAGAATTAAGAGTGGGAACAAGAGAAGGTGGAAGAAGAAGGCTGGTGTGTAGGCTTGAGAGATGCTAGCATGGGAAGAAGTATCAGTATGTTTTGAATCTATATATAAGAAATACATAATATTTACATACCTGATATAAAATGTTAAAAAGTAGATAATTTTCTAACCAGACTAACAAAAAAGATAAAAAAGCCAGTAAATAAAATTACAGACAAAAAAGCAGACATTACAAACAACATCACTGAAACTCAAGGATTCAAAGAAATTGCTATTCAGTACTGTATATTAATAAACTGGAAAACTAGGAGGAAATGGAGAAATCCCTGGATAACAAATACACATAACCTACTAAGATTAATTCCAGAAGACACAGCCATCCTAAAAAGACTCATAAAAATCAATGAAAACTGAAACACCCACCAGAAACACTGCTAGAACTGACTAAATAACTAAGTCACAGGTTACAAATAAACCTACCTTGTAACCCGCAGTCCTGTCCTCCAGCGCGAGCCCAGCCACCCGCTTCTCCGCTTCCCACAGCCGAGCCGCCGCCCGCCCCCACGGCCGCTCAGCCTGTGGACCTGAGTGTCTACATTGCTCCGAGGGGCCACAACCCTCCCACCTCCCGAGGTCCCAGGCCTCTCACTGTTTTTTAAGAAAAACTCACCTTCGCTCCCGCACTCTCCAGGCCAGTACCGCTGCTGAAAACGCCGCTGGAAGCCAACAACTCTAGCAGCCAACAACAGGCCGCCACCGCCGGCTCCGTATCCACCAGACTGACTGCACAAGCGCCATCCATCTAGGGCCCGCCTCTTCCTCCCAGTAAGCATAGCGGCACCGGAAGTTGCCAGGCAGTGTCAAGAATGCGTGACAGCTGTCTTGGCTCCATGCTTGGATAGAGGGCCAGTGTTGATCTCCCATATGCTGCAGGTAAGAAAACTTTTCCTATATAAAAAAAAAAAGACTGGATGCAATTGTAAAATCTTACATTTTGTGAAATAAGGCTTTCCAAACAGACAAATACAGTATATTCTCCCTGATCTGTGGTAACAGAGTACCTAAAAGGTGATCCTTATAAGTTATATTGACACTCTGACATATAATGATTTTAAACAACTCTTGCAGATATAATAATGATTTTAAACAAACCATGTCTTGTCTCTTCAGGAACGGATTTTTTTTTTAATTCTTTCAAACTGTTGAATTCTTTACTTAGTGTAGGCTTTATATTATGAGTATAAAATAATTGAAAATAGATTTTTGCATAAAGTAAGAATGGGAAGAGTGGATGGAGATTAAAGAGGGATGGGAGCTGTGGCGCAGCGGGATAACACCCTGGCCTGGAACACCGGCATCCCACATGGGCGCCAGTTCGAGACTCGGCTTTTCCTCTTGTAATCCAGCTCTCTGCTATGGCCTGGGAAAGCAGTGGAAGATGTCCCATGTCCACGTTTTTCATGAACTTTTTTAAGATTTATTTTATGTATTTGAAAGGTGAATTTACAGACAGAGAGAGATAGAGTCCCATCTGCCGGTACACTCCCCAAATGGCTGCAATGGCCAGGGCTGGGCCAGACTGAAGTCAGGAGCCAGGAGCTTCTTCCAGGT